ATTATTTATATATTTTTATTTTTTTTTTTTTTTTTTTTTTTAATAAATCGAAAAATATATTGCCTTTGTTATTTTAATTATTGTGGCAAGTTAAATGGATGAAATCATAGATGTCAAAATATACTCATGAAAAGAAACACATCGCAGACTGCCATTTAAAACAATCAGAATTGCTACACAAAATTACTGAAAAACAACTACCTGTTGCTAACCTAATTCTTGTCAAAAACTTATAATAACCTGTTTTCTGATTATTAAAAAAATCGAATTAATATGATTGTACAGTTTAAGACAGAAGGGCCTAAATGTACGTGAGTTCACATTTTGTTGATTATTCTTCGTGGGGAGAAAATAAAATTCCCAAACAGGCCAGGTTTACTGTGTTCTCGCTCCATTGTCTCGAGGCCAAGTGAAGTTTGTGAGCCGGCAGTTCATAGCGTGGTGAACAAAGCAATACTCCACTCCCCCTTTGTGCTCAACTTTGAGAGCAGACGCACCAAAACTCCCGCTACAATATTCCAAAATCATTTACCTATGTCAGGAAGTTATCCACGAAGAGTTTTATCTAAAACACGTGAAAGTCCATTGAAGAGTGATCCAGTTGTGTCGTTATAATCCAAAAGCGCAAAACTTTCTTTCAGCGTTCGGATGCTTGGTTTGTATTGATGGTAGTGCATTGTCTGCACGTGCTAGACAGCTCGCTTGACCACGCCCCTTTCAGCCCTGACCCCACCCCTTGTCCAATAACATGCACTTAACGGAATTACACCTAAAGACGTTAGTGTCATTTTATTATTATTATTATTTTAAATAATAATAATAAATATGATTACTATTAGTAGTAGTAGTAGTAGTAGTAGTATTATGGTTGTTGTTGTTGTCTATAGGTTTACATGTTTAATGCGTGCACAGAGCACTCATGAAACATTTCTGAACAGTACATTAGGAGATGTGAAATATGCTGATTCACCTTCTGCTAACATCAATCCATATACTTAAGGTCACTGAGTGTATTGAGGGCTTGGCTTTTGAGTAAATAAATATACATTTATGACAGTATACCCGGCTGTATTGGTGACATGTAGTGGCAACCATAGTATGTGGATAAGTGTAAATATTACTAATCTCACTAAGTGCACCAATTCAAACCATCTGTGCTGCCTTCTGTTATAAAGTTGTATAGTGTGTGATCTTGTTAATTAATTTTATTAAATACATAAATACACACACACACACATATATATATATATACACACACACACACACATGCATACATAAAGAAGGAGTTTGGGATTTTATTTTATATAAATGCATGTATAAAAATAAAATAATAAAATACGTATTACCCCCTTCAAAAACGTGCATGCTCTTTTTTGTAAAGAGGTTATTAATTTAGTTTTACACTTCAAAAGCTACAGAAGATTACAACACTGTTCATATTGGGGGGAAAAAAGTTTTAAATGTGAAATAGTTTTTCAGGGCATTACTATATAAAATAATAATAATAATAATAAAACGATATGCAATTTTTTATTATCACTTTTATTTAGTTAGAAATAATTATGTGAGATTATGTGTGTGTGTGTATACACTTTGCCTGTCTCACTGACTCCAGATAACAAGTCAGTACATTGCAAGAAACATGGATACATGAGCTTGCAACCGGCACCCCAACACAATCCATCATCCAAGACTGCTTGACAGACTGATACATTCATATCTTAACTTTGTTCAACTGTGGTATTCAAATGGATTCCTGTCTCTTTTCTCATTTGAGGGATGTAAACAGATTAACACAAAATCTTTCGAGAGCCCCCTCCCCGTTCCCAACACAAACCAGTGCACCCAGAAGGAATTAATTGGTTTCAGCAGTCATCCCTGCTGAACAATCCACTTGAGCGTCCCCAATGTAGCCTCCCGGCAGAGACATCTCATCTGTCTCACACTCCTCCCCCACAGAGCCCATGTCTAGACCCTCTTGCTGCAGTGTGCATCCATGCTCACACTCGACTAGGGCATTAGGTTCACACCCTGCGCTATCAGTCGGGATGATGCTAGATAATGACTAAAGACCGTTGCTGGAACACTCAGCTCTTGAGACACGGACAAACCATCTGATCTCTTTTTTTCCCCCTCATGTAAACATGGCGTATTGCAGCCATGTAACGTGATTATTACATGTTTTAATGTCTGGATCGTCTCTGATAGCTGCATACCCACTTGCCACTGGGGTGGGAGGGGTGGATGGATGTTTATCAGGGACCACAGAAGTGAAACAGTATCGTGATGTCATTATGTGACAGTTCCCTGTGACTCAAGGTTGCAATAGGCCTGATTGTCAATCTTTTGACCATGCATCACTTCATATGTCTCACATAGAGTGGCATACAAAAGCAGAGCTGGTGCAGGTGCATGGCATTAATAAATAATATTAATTCTCAGCTATTTTAGACTAGAATGTCTTTAAAGCATCAAAACCCTGATACACAAACGGCCTTGTTGAGCACTCGTACTTACACTCTCTGATAAAAGGCATAAAACTGGGGTTGTATGCTTTCAAAAGGTATTAATATGAACACTTTAGGTACTAATATGCACTTTTAAAGTATTAATATGTACCATTTAGGGCTAAATAAGGTACAAAGATGTACCTTTTAGCTTTTGTACCTAATGTACTTTTTTTTTTTTTTCCTGAGTATACATTTCAGAAACAAATTAAGGTTTCTATTCTGATCTGCTGTGCAAAGGTAAACAGTTTTATGGTTATTGGTTCCCCGAAGAACCTTTCGGTTAAAAAATTCTTAAAAGAACCATATTTTTATTAGTGTGAATAACTTTTTAATAATCTAAAGAATATATAATGAACCTTTTGTGGGATGGAAATGTTCTATGGAGGTTAATGGTTCGTTAAACCTTTGATGCCAATAAAGAACTTTTCTTTTTAAGAGTGTAAACTATAAATGGTCCTTTGGCTACTTCTGTTAATCAGAGTGTGATATTGAGTCAATCCAAAATTTGTGAAGCCATTTTCTGTTTCAGTATTGCCGTAACTACTGTGTTTTACCTTTGTGGGGCAGTACTGCTCTCAAAAATAACTTTGACCATAGTGGTGCAGAACAATTCTTTAGTTTTTGTTTTGTTTTGTTGTGAAGTGTTTAATTCTATTAAAAGGAATAAAATATGAAGAGAAGGAGTCTTGCGACTGATGTTCAGTTCCAGCTGATTTTATTTCCTTCTTGGAAAAAGACAAAGTTCTGTACAGAGGTCTGACAGGCAGTGACTTGACACAATTGGCTGGCTTTTGAGTTCACTACTCAAATGTTGAGATATGGTATGGCAAGACAAAACAATATTGTACACAGCATATTGCACAAAATGAAACAATAAAACATATCTATATATTCCAAAAGCCATGAACAACACTCTTAAACATACACTCTAAAAAATGCTGGGTTAAATGCAACCCAATTGCTGGGTTTGTCCCTATTTTACCCAGCACTGGGTTGCATTTAACCCAGCATTTTTTAGAGGGTAGGGATGTATAAAGATATATGTTCTTATTCCGGTCATGATATATCATTGTCAGACATAAACACGCAATCTTTTACTTATTTTACAGTCAATGTACATAGAAATCTTCATGTTGATCCTCTGCCTTAAACACAACTGCTCTACATAAACCTGAATTCAGAAATACAAAATGCTATTCGCCATGCCGTAATATACTAAAACAATTAGCTACATTTAGCCAACAAGTAGAAAAGATTAAATATCCTTGTACAATTATGGAGTGAAGACGTACTTCATTGTTCATGAATTATAGGCATTTCGACCGTATCTGTAATTCCATCCAGTGGTTCAAACCGAAACGTGTCACTATAAAAGCACAAAGAAATTGGTATTAAAAAGGTACAGTATCCCCAATAAGGACGCGATAAACCACAGCAATTGCTGCTGCAGCTACATACAGCCTCACTCCGCGCGCGCATCATAGGCTAATGACGATTGGTCGTTGAAATGCAGATACTGTCTCTTTAAGAAGCCTGTGGATTGACACTGTAAACATGTTTAGGGAGCAGATTTTGGAGACAACCCAAGCCCCCTGGCTTTAAAAATCGGAAATCCAAACAGCGATATTCACCGATTGACACCCCCTCGATAGATTTTGTACAAAAATACACTCAGAAAATAATGAAACATTTAATCTCCGTTCCATGTGAGAGGTCATCAATTAAATAATACGAAACAAAGCTAGCCCTTCCGCGAGACAGACGGACATGTGCATGTGAAGCCTATACACACAACAGACTGACTAGAACACAAGTGACGGAGGGGAGGAGAGGAGCAATGTTTGGCCATTATATAAATACATCGATATAAAAATGCCAGCGCTGAAAAGTTACCAGGATGAAGAAGTAAAAAGGCAGAGAGAGAGAGAGAGAGAAAACGCCCCTCGGATGAATTTTGGTCCTGATTTGTAGTGTAAAGAATCGAATCATCTGAGTTGCGTCTGAATCCTGATGCCATGGCGACAAGAAAGCTGGTGATTGTGTTTGTTTTTGCGTCTGATACATCACTGCCATTCAGTTTCAATGAATCAACACCAGTAACGCTTCTCAACAGCCTTTCGTAGTTACATCGTAATGAAAGCATGCGATTCTGGTCTAACACAGGATTCTGGTAAACAATCTCAAGTGCGAGCAGACGAATCGCTCTCCATTCAGTACCTCCATCAAAACAAGCATATGACCAGACTTTTTCTTCGGTTTAAAAACGTCCCTTTTCAAAGTCGGAGAGGGCGCACAACGTGAACTCGCCATCGCGCAATGCCTTCCTCATCTGCGTCCAAAGCGCGCCTCCTTCCAAGCACCAAACGAGCAAGCTAAGCACTTTCATCTGCACTCTTGTCAGCGGATAATGAGCACCCACAGTATCTGATGCATGGTAAACACGAGGAATCATGTCGTTGACTCGTCGTCTGACTCGTCTCGGAGGATTTTGCAGCCCTCCGGTCATTTTTCAATCTGTCCTTTCACTACTAGCTCTCAGTAAGTGAACACCAAGTTGGATATTGTCGATTCGAGCCAGTCCCCTGATATCAACTCGCTCACCTCTGGGGTGCAGTAGTCGGGGAACTCAAAGTGCGAGCCGGAGCCCGACTCAAAGTTGAACTCCAAATCTCTGTCTAGAGGCGCGGTGCCAAAGGTGCTGAAGCTGTCAAAGCCGGGACTGGGGTCCGCCAGCTCGTCCTCGAACTCCTCATCCGAAGAGGACGACTGCGAGGAGGACGAGTGCGAAGCGGAGGGCGTCGGAGACGGCGCGCGGGTGTACTTGAAGCGCGCGGCGGGCTCCGCGTCTTCCTTTCCGCTCGCGAGCCCGTCCTCGTAGAGGCTCAGCGGGTCGCTGGATTCCGCCGAGCTGCTCAGAGTGGGACTGGCCGGCACGGCGACGGAGGGCGGGCTGCTATCGGAGCTGCACCCCCCGAACACATGCCCGCGCTTTGCTGGTTTCTCGGGGATCTGTTTGGCGGCGGACCTGAACTTGTAGAGAGTGTGGTGGTCTGCAGGGACGGAGTGGGAGGTCAGCTCAAGCGCCGTGGACTTTCGGTGCGTCCTGCTGAGAGTTTTCGAGCTCTTTTTGGATGCAGATTTTGCGCCGGGGCTGCCGCTCACGCGCTCCCCCTTCTCCCCAGTCTTGCCGCTGGATGACTTCACCTTCTTCCGTGGTCGATATTTGTAGTCTGGATAGTCTGCCATGTGCTTGAGCCTGTCAACAATTCTGTGTTTTTCTGTCAATATGGGGTGCTGTGTGTACATTAATGAGGAAAAAAAATTAACTTAAATGATTTTAGCGAATGGCTGCAATATAACAAAGAGTGAAAAATTTAAGGGGGTCTGAATACTTTCCGTACCCACTGTATAATCTGGAAAACCACAACAGGTGCTTTTTATCAATAGGCATTTTGTTTAAGACAAGCAAAACCATGTTTGTTTGTTTTTTTTTTCCATGCACTGGTCAATTTTGAGGTTTTGGGCTATTTGGCTTTTCATAACGTGTTGTTTCTAGCGGAAACTAGTTGAAAGAGAACATCCATAAAATGTTTTATACATCCAAAATACTTTAAAGTGTTTATTTTATTGCACTTGATCTATTTGTGTCTGTAGATTTAAAAACATATACGTGTATGTATAATTAAAGGCCATTTTCTCAAAATGAGTTTTGAACAGTGTTACTTTACTATCACTCAGATACTATTATATCGTTTTTATTAATATTTTGAATCATTTTTTATATTTTCCATTTTCATTTTAGTTAAAGTTTTAGTAATTGGGTTGTGTTTGGCGTGCCATTTTTAGCAGTTTTATAATGTAGTTATATTTTTAATAGTTTTAATTTCAGTTTTATGTAACTATAATGACCTTGTTTTTGAGAGCCAGAAAGCTCCACTTACATCTACCAAACTTCACAGTTTTATTCATATCTATATGCTGAAAGTTTTTGCAGAGGGGTTATATTATTTGCCCAATTTTATAGATTTTATTCCTAAACACATGATCAAAATAAGTTGATTTTCTGGTTGTTGACAGTATTTTTTGATTTTGATATAAAAAATATCAAAAATTCCCTCAATAAAAACCTTTAAAAAGACACTAATATGACAACAACTATAACACATATTTTCAATCTGGCGGTATCTGGTTCTGTTCTGGAAATGTATACAAATTAGTGCATATTTAATGAAACATCGCCTCATTTGCATATTTAAACATTTCAGAAATTGTTAATGTAATCAATCACATTTTTTACCCACTTCACCTGGGGTGTTGTTTTAGAAAACAAACCTACAGGATAAAATTCATGTGCAATTGCCATAAAAAAAAGAGCTTCAACAGAAGGATCAAAGATAGACAGATCCACTCATAATTACAGTATTTGATCTCATAGGCTGAAAGGAGAGGCTTTGGTAATGGTCTGGCTACACGGCGGACCGTCGGCAGCATGCTTAATTCATTCATTCACTCCCTACTATACCACAGTGTTCAATCCAAACCCCACTCCTCAAGCTTGGCTTAGTGTTGCCATGGAAATCCTGCCTGTTTGCTCTCCAAACACATTCAGACAAGAAAGTACATGATCTCGCCAGTCTTAGCCCAGCGGAGCTGAACTACACAGTCGACGAGGACACGGGAACGTCCTTATCAATCTGCAAGCCGATCTCAAATGCACACACAAACAAATATTAATGGATTTGCATAGATGTCCATCTGATGGCTTGGGTATTTGAAGACAAGCGGCCAGCAGGGTTTATGAAAATGAGCTCTTCCTGCAGTTGCCAGGAAGATGAATTGGGGTGCGGAACCGTGCAGACAGTGTGCATACTGAGGTCAGATGGTAGTTGGAGCCGTTATGACAAGGCATGGAGGAACGTGCCTCTGAGTTATTCATTACATTCTTTCTGTCCCATCATTGCTGCCTTCCTCATTACCAGGCTAATTTCTCTAGCCTCTCTGTGCCGCTGCCGTCACACAATGGAGCCTTTGTGTGTGCGAACACGTGTGTGTGTGTGTGTGTGTGTGTGTGTGTGTGTATGAGATGGCTGAGCTCTTGTACAACTGAAATGCAACTGTGGTCCAACCTGACCCCAGTAGGTATTCCTTTTAGCCTTTAAAGTTGTGTTTGCCATCTGTAATGTTTTAAGTTGTCACTGTCTCCCTTGAAACTTGTGCAAAAAGGTCACCCAAATGTCTTTCTCTTTCTTTAGTGGGAACTTGTTTGTGGTGAGGTCACCCAGATAACTTGCACCGGACAGCCAAAACGGTTACAGCCAATTGTCCAGCTCAGCAGATTATTTCCCCCGCAGCAGAACACTGAGGTAAGGACACAGGTTCAGGAGTGAACGGCTGATCGCTTATCTTTCACACGACTTTACTTCCCCATTGCTGCAATAAATCAGGAACGGCGGCCAAAGACATGCCTCCTTTTTCAGGTTTCATGTGTTTCTACCGTTTGCCAGTGCAAGAGCTTCCAAGAACAGTAACGTTTATCTCGATAACATCACTTCATCAGCATAACTATTCTTAAAAGTGGTTTCATGTTAATTATGAGCCGATGTATTTGCTCGATAAAGAGACCATAGGAAAACAGAAGAGTATTTGTTGGAAAGATTCCAGTCGTGATATAATCAAGTTCATTTGTTTAAAGTTTTACCAACCGTTGGACTATAAACTGAAGTGATGCTAATTAAAGACCAACTGACATAAAGACACCAGTATCACTGTTCATCCAGAGACATGTTTATTTCAGCTCATTTATTTTCAGCTACATGTTATTTATTAAGTGGGTGAATCGTGAAACCTGTCAAGAGTTATATTTCTCTCTAAAACCAAAAGAAAAAGAAATAACAAATGAAAGCAGCGAAGCCTATTAGGACAATTAAGATTTTTTTTTTGCATTGTGCTATCATGATTCATTTTCCTGAAAATTAAACACTCCCCCACAATTCTCATAAGTGTAATGTCAGAAGAAAAATCCCTTTCTTATTATCGTAATGTAAATATATATATTTGCAGCTTTTGATTTACATCATTGCTTTCGGAGAATTTATAAAAAACTCACTGTAAATGAGAATCTAATGAGAAGCAACATTAATAATAATGGAAATTATTCTTTATGGATAAAAAGTAAAAAGTAAATAGATGCATTATGATAAAGAGATTTTTTTTGAGGAATTAGGCTCAAAATTAGGCTTTGTTATCTTTATGCAAAAAAAAAGAAATATATATATATATATATATATTTATATTTTTCTATTGATTTTGGGGTACAATGTGACGGAGTGTGATGTGATATACAGTCAAACCAAAAATTATTCAGACACCAGATATAATTTTTGATATTTTTTTACTAGTGGGTGCAGGACACTATAGTTCATTTATGTAAGGGAAGATAACAAAACAAAGTACACCGTGACAAATTATACCCAAAATTGATAAAAATTAGGGATAAAAAAATTATCCAGACACTTTGACCACCTGACCATGTTTTGCTTAAGTGTTATCTGACATTATCAAGATGAATTTGTTCTGACTGTTTAACTCTGAGTTCTTGTCATATTTTATTACCATTTTCTAAGTGAATAAACTGTGATAATGTGTGAAATGTTGAAGGTGTCTGAATAAATTTAGGTTTGGCTGTACATGCCTACATATATATATTTTTTCCTTCACTTTTGTCTCCAGCAGCTTAAACTTGATCTCTTATTTAGTAAACACTGGAGGTTTTACTCAAGGTTATGCATAGAGCTTGTGTCTTTTCTTTCTTACTTGCTTACTTTTTTATTTTTTACAGAATTGTTAGGTATTATGTTTCTTTTAATATTTCAGCGTGTATGGGGTTGTAAACATCAAACTCAACGGTAAGGACACAGGTTCAGGAGTGAACGGCTGATCGCTTATCTTTCACACGACTTTACTTCCCCATTGCTGCAATAAATCAGGAACGGCGGCCAAAGACATGCCTCCTTTTTCAGGTTTCATGTGTTTCTACCGTTTGCCAGTGCAAGAGCTTCCAAGAACAGTAACGTTTATCTCGATAACATCACTTCATCAGCATAACTATTCTTAAAAGTGGTTTCATGTTAATTATGAGCCGATGTATTTGCTCGATAAAGAGACCATAGGAAAACAGAAGAGTATTTGTTGGAAAGATTCCAGTCGTGATATAATCAAGTTCATTTGTTTAAAGTTTTACCAACCGTTGGACTATAAACTGAAGTGATGCTAATTAAAGACCAACTGACATAAAGACACCAGTATCACTGTTCATCCAGAGACATGTTTATTTCAGCTCATTTATTTTCAGCTACATGTTATTTATTAAGTGGGTGAATCGTGAAACCTGTCAAGAGTTATATTTCTCTCTAAAACCAAAAGAAAAAGAAATAACAAATGAAAGCAGCGAAGCCTATTAGGACAATTAAGATTTTTTTTTTGCATTGTGCTATCATGATTCATTTTCCTGAAAATTAAACACTCCCCCACAATTCTCATAAGTGTAATGTCAGAAGAAAAATCCCTTTCTTATTATCGTAATGTAAATATATATATTTGCAGCTTTTGATTTACATCATTGCTTTCGGAGAATTTATAAAAAACTCACTGTAAATGAGAATCTAATGAGAAGCAACATTAATAATAATGGAAATTATTCTTTATGGATAAAAAGTAAAAAGTAAATAGATGCATTATGATAAAGAGATTTTTTTTGAGGAATTAGGCTCAAAATTAGGCTTTGTTATCTTTATGCAAAAAAAAAGAAATATATATATATATATATATATTTATATTTTTCTATTGATTTTGGGGTACAATGTGACGGAGTGTGATGTGATATACAGTCAAACCAAAAATTATTCAGACACCAGATATAATTTTTGATATTTTTTTACTAGTGGGTGCAGGACACTATAGTTCATTTATGTAAGGGAAGATAACAAAACAAAGTACACCGTGACAAATTATACCCAAAATTGATAAAAATTAGGGATAAAAAAATTATCCAGACACTTTGACCACCTGACCATGTTTTGCTTAAGTGTTATCTGACATTATCAAGATGAATTTGTTCTGACTGTTTAACTCTGAGTTCTTGTCATATTTTATTACCATTTTCTAAGTGAATAAACTGTGATAATGTGTGAAATGTTGAAGGTGTCTGAATAAATTTAGGTTTGGCTGTACATGCCTACATATATATATTTTTTCCTTCACTTTTGTCTCCAGCAGCTTAAACTTGATCTCTTATTTAGTAAACACTGGAGGTTTTACTCAAGGTTATGCATAGAGCTTGTGTCTTTTCTTTCTTACTTGCTTACTTTTTTATTTTTTACAGAATTGTTAGGTATTATGTTTCTTTTAATATTTCAGCGTGTATGGGGTTGTAAACATCAAACTCAACAGCACCTTCTGAGAATGATTTACCCAACTAAATAGCAAACCAAATGTTTTGTTGCTGTTCTGCAGGCAACAAAAAGTGTTTTGATTAACAGAGTGCTTTCACTCGTAGAAAGGTCTTGTTTATGTTTTGCAAGCAACCTTGAGCAGTAGATTTTCTCTGGGTTATTGTGAGTGGCTTTTAAATAACAGGAGAGGGAAATGCTGTTGTGGACAGCAAAGTGAGTGAGGAAAGAATGGCTAAATTTATTCAGTTATGGACAGTGTATGGCCAGTCTGCATCGAAACTTATGGAATTTGGCTCAAGGTTTTTACCAAACGTGGAGTATGTTTTGAGTGATTATTGGAACAGCATGTTTAGCCTTGTACTTAAATGGAGGTTTTGTCCAGTCAGATTGTGGTTTAGCTGACACCTGACTCTTGGTTTGTGTGTGTGTTTGCTGGCAGGCTCAAGTCCATTTTCTTGTCTGTTGGAGTTTAAGAGGACACATCAACTGACTGAACAGGTGAACAAAAATTATTTAGTTTTTTTTTTTTAGAAATTCATAGAGCTTTAAAAGAGTAGATCAGTAAAAATGAAAATGCTGTCATCATTTATTCAGCCTTTTCGGTCTGACTTACTTTCACACATGGAACACAAAAGAGGACATTTGAAGGAATGTGCAGGCCGCTCTTCTCCATGCAGTCACAGAGAATGGAGAATGGAGCTTTCAATGCTTTTTTGGATGTGAAAGCCATAATTATCATAAAAGTAGTTCAAATGACAAATGGCTGTGATAAATCCCAAGTCTTCTGAAATCATATGATAGCTATTTGTGTGAAAAAGACCAAAATTTAAGTTGCTATTCAATGAAAATGTTGACACATACCTGACTTCTGAATGCGTGAAACGAGTAACAATGGTGGATTCATGAATTACTCATTCTTGTTCATCTGACCTTTTACAATGAATCAGTTAATTTACATCACAAAACTGCAAGATATGTGTCACAAATGAAACTGATCTAATTCTAAAGTCATTGATCTGTTTGCAGCAGTTAACAGTAATATCAGTGAATAACAACTTATATCTCTGTCTGTTTCTCAAACAAAGCTATCATATTACCTCAGAGGACTTACATAATAGCACATGTGTTGTATGGTTCACTTTTATTGTGTTTTTGTGTCCTTTTTAAAGCTTATAAGGTCTAGTACCAATTCATTTCATTGAAAAGAATGACCAAGGCGGTCTGAATACTTTCCGTACCCACTGTATATATATATTGTACTTGCAGATGATATACCATCAATAACAGCCACTTAAGTGCACTTAAAGAGAATATACTTTTATGACGGTTACGTACACATTTAGAATGTAATTGTTAAAATGTAAAATTAAATGTTTTATTTTAACATACATTACAATTATATAATATACATTAAAGTATTATTATGTTTGGTTTAATATTTTTGTAGTGCTTTAAAGAAGTGCAGTTATTTTGATGTGTTGACTAACAAACTAAAGCCCATTTAAAGTACTCGGTAATTTTAACTGTAGTGTGTTGTTCGATATTACATTTAAAGTTAATATATTTTAAATGTACCAAATTGCAACTTGATCATTATAAATGTGTAATTAGGCTACACATATAGTTTAATATATGACATACAAGTTTTAATAGAAATTATGTTTAAGTACATTTTACTTTACCGAAAATGCTTGTCAGTAAATTTGGAATTACACTTTAACGATTTCTGAACCATTGATGGGCACCATTTACTTCCATAGTAGGAAAAATATATATACTATGGAAGTCAATGGTGCCCATCAACTGTTTGGATACTAACATTTTTCAAAATATTTTCTTTTGTGTTTAACAGAAGAAAGAAACCCATACAGGTTTGGAACAAGTGAAGGGTGAGTAAATGATGATAGCATTTTCATTCTAGAAGTGAACTACTTCTTTAAGTGGTTTAAAGTCACACTAAAGTTTGGCTAATTGCATTTGATGTAAATGTAAACTAGAATACATTTCCATTTAATAACAATTAACATGCAATTAAATGTCCAAATTTTTTTTTTTAAGTAGGCTATGATTAAATGTATACTTTTTCCACAAGAGAGATTTTTCATCTTGGGTGAACTAATCCTTTAATAAACATATATGCAAGAGAAATACAGAGTGAGAGTGCTGAAAGGAGGAGAAAGAGAGAAGTGTTTCTCTTGGACTCCAAACAATTATTGTTTTCACAATTGCAGTCAGCAGGGCATCAGTGTTGGAGATGGAGAAAGCAGATCACTCCAGCAGTTCATCATGTGCTCACTTAATGGCTGCCTTTCCAGTGTCTCTCCCTTAACTGTCTCAACCATATGGATTTGAGGACAAAGACATATTACGTGTATGCTAATTACAACAGCCATGCAGACAAAGGACTGCAAAGATACCTGTACCATAATAAAGAGACTGTGAATGCCATGGCACAGAAATGAAAAGCCCGATGAGGGGAGGGTGGGCATGTGAGCGTGTTTATCTGTCTGTCAGAGGAGAATTTGACATTTGAAGGATGAGAGACCCTTTTCATACTGGAATTGGGAAACTTAGAAGCCATCCTCATTTCATTTATGCACTTCACTGGGAACAGAGAGACAGAAAGAAAGAGCAGACACAAGGAAGTTTGGAAGGGAGACAGAGAGGCAAGCCAGATAGCAAAAAGTGGAGAAAAAAATAGAGCATAAATTAAGGTGGGCGAAATGCATTGCTACTGTTCTCGTTCTTATACAGTCTCCTGTTTATTAATCAATAGTACCACTGTTACTCCCCAGTGGAGACAAGTATAACGGAATGTTAAGTCAGGGTTTTTAGGGGACACGCCACACCAAAAACTTCCCAGCATCCCTTCTGCTTAGCAAATGATGACGCATCATTCTGCTGACACAAGTCAGCTGATTGCTGTGTCACGGCAATGGTTTTAGGCGAGTGGCAGCACTCTGGCTACAGACGTAGAGTCTTTTTTTCCTCCCAGACGCACTGCGGCACAGCCAGACGACTAGAGTGGAGGCACAGGAGCTCACAGCTGCAGTCTACTGGCTTGTTTCGGGAGGTAGAGGAGCCGAGCACTTCCTCTCGAAATACCGTCGCTCTGCTCCTTTTTGCTGTTGAGGGATCATTTTCATCGGGGAAGAGCATTCGAAGAGAGTAGAGCCAAAAAAAGAAGACAAACTCTGAGTCAAACAACTTGGAATTAACGTTGGTCTCATTTGTGGGCAGAAAATTTGGAGAAGCGAGCCCGGATCGTGATTTTTTTGGGGGTCTGCTGACGCCATCGTCTACAAGTACCGGACCAGGTTCCCAGGCTGAGAAGTCACCGATAAAAAGCTTGGATTCCAGTGCGTCACCTGTCCGTCCCATCGTAAACAGAGGAGCCGAGCACTTCCTCTCGAAATACCGTCGCTCTGCTCCTTTTTGCTGTTGAGGGATCATTTTCATCGGGGAAGAGCATTCGAAGAGAGTAGAGCCAAAAAAAGAAGACAAACTCTGAGTCAAACAACTTGGAATTAACGTTGGTCTCATTTGTGGGCAGAAAATTTGGAGAAGCGAGCCCGGATCGTGATATTTTTGGGGGTCTGCTGACGCCATCGTCTACAAGTACCGGACCAGGTTCCCAGGCTGAGAAGTCACCGATAAAAAGCTTGGATTCCAGTGTGTCACCTGTCCGTCCCATCGTAAACTCGTCCCACCCGAGACGTCCAGTCAGCCGGGCCCGTCTGCATTCTCATTCGCAGTGACTGGCCAAAGTGGCCGCTCCACTCCAAGGTTAAGGTGGCTTTCGGTCCTAGACTTAGTCCTTGTTCAGAGGGCAGGGCAGAGCCGAACAGAAACAGCGACGCGGCAGCTGAGCCGAGCTCAGCCAGACAGACGCGCTGACCTAAATCAGCCCCAGTCATGTCTGGACGCAGCCAGAGCGAAGCAGACGGAGAGGAAGACAGAGCGAGAGAGAGAGGGAGAGAGCGACCCACACGTACTGACTCGAACATATACTCGCACTACGGTAGGTTTAGACGACTGCAATTAGCCCCTAATGAAATGTAGTTTGTTTCCCATCCGTTTGCGTTCAGTTCTTGCTGATGCTGTGCTTAGTTGAGATTAGCTTGTCTGTGGCTGTGTTTCTATCTTTGTGCCATAGGGATGGAGAGAAACGAAGGAGGCTGTAAGGGGAGGGGGAGACAGAGTTGTCTCTCTCTCCCTCTCTCGCTCTTTTTTCGCCACCGCTTTATTTTGTTCCATTTGCTGGTGTTTATATTCACCGTATATCTGCGCTGATCACCACCATTGCTGCACATCGAAACGTAGAGTCGTTGTCCCCCTCACCTCCCCCGTTTGCACTGTTGGGTCCAGGTAAGACATTCACTTATTCATCTCCGACAGCCAAATATGCGAACCCCTTAGTCTGAGTACGTGAGGGTGGGCGGTTTTGTGCGTTACGTTTATTTGTTTTTGGTGAATCCGATGTGCGTTAAAACCCAAGATCAAGAACAAGATCACATCCCCCTCCTCCCAAGCGTAGACTCCTTGGGAATATTCTGAATTTACAGTTGGTAGATAGTGCTGGCATTGCATATTCCTCTCAAACTGAAAGAGCTAATAAAATCGCTCAGGAATGCAATCGGTTAGTAGTTTAATCACAGTATGGTGAGAATGATGAAAAAAGAAGGTAGGCACATCTTTTTAGTGTGTTAGTGAGTTCAAGTGAAAGTGTACAATGTATGCTGTTATTTATTTGCTTCTGGCAACAAATATTACATTACATACACCAACGCCTTGATAATTTTCTTGGCACAAATCATCCCACGCTCAGCAGGAACACAGTGCTGCTCACAGGGGAAAACAATCTAGCCATAAGCGGGAGACTGATATCTCAAACATGTCCACTCATATTCCTTCCGCTAGCAAATCACTTATTAGTCACCGCTTGAAAAAGTACAACTTCACAGTTTCATTCTCATCCACCTGCGCTTTGAGCCAGAAAGAGCTCTCACACACAGATGTAATTGATGAGAACTCAAAGGTACCTTGAGGTATTTGTCCGTTAAGAGGCTCTCAGGTAAATGTTACAGGTGTCATATTACATTTCAGTGCTGTGAGATCTGTAGTCTTATGCAATACTCTTTCAGTGTCAAATACAGAAGGGTACGCAGCATGGCCCATCTGTTCAG